GATGAGTGTGGAGCAGACTAAAGAGCAGATACATGGCAAAAACAGCCAGCCCCACCCTGGTACAATGCAAGGTATCAAGGAGCTGTCAGGAATAGCAATTAATAACCAAGAATCGGGAGATGACAGATCATCAGGAGATCAGCTGAGACAGCAGCAGATAATTACATCAAGACAGGAGTGTTAGGATTACAACTAGGTCAGAAGGTGACAACTGCCTTATAATGAATATTTGGAAGAAGGGTCTGCCCTTCTGCCTGGTGAACTGGACCCAAATGCCTACATTAAGAAAAATTGAGTACAAATAAGTGACTCATCACTGAAAACTTAATCATAGACTTCTGTGATGACTATTAACAATAAGATTTGTGATAAATTACATAGATGTTCTGACATCACAAATATTTTAATCATACCTTCCTCTCTACAATGTGTTCATCAAATTTTTTAAGCTGCAATTTCATTTGCTATTAAATTTTGAAAAACAAGTTCACATGGATTTAAGCTCTTTCCATGATAAGAGTCTCTCCTTAGACCTCCACATGTCTCAATAGATAACTACTTCTCACATCCAAACCTAGATCAGAACTGTGTAGGCCTCAGCTGAGAAGAGCCAGGTGCTGGCCTTACCAGTGTGTGCATACAGCTTCATAATCTTTTAGAATATGGAATGATTAGGCCCAGTGTGATGGCTCAGTCATTAAATACTCACCTTGCGAGCCTTTGGGATCCCCTGTGGGTGTCAGTTCATATCCCAATTGCTCTACTGCCTATCCAGCTTCTTGCTTGTGGTCTGGGAAGGCAATGGAGGATGGTCCAAAGTCTTGGGACCCTGCACCCATGTGGAAGACCTGAAGGAAGCTCCTGGCTCTTGGCTTCAGATCAGGTTGGCTCTGGCTGTTGTGGCAAACTTGGAGGGTGAGCCAGTAGACAGAGGATCTGCCTCTGGGTCTCTCCTTCTCTCTGTGGCTTTGCCTTTCCAATAAAAATAAATAAACCCTTAAGAAAAGCAAAAACAATATGGAACTATATAGATGAAAAAAAAACTTAGTAGGCTTATAATACGAACCCAGTATGTCCATTATTGACATACAATACAGAGTAGTGTATAAGGAGTCTCCTCTAGCAACCCATTTATCTATGCTAGCAAGGATTGAGTTAGCCAAATGATATAAGGCAGTTTGTTTGTGGAAATGATCTTAGAACAAGGGGAAATCAATAATTTGACTTGATTGTTAAGCGTTGTAGGGATTATGAAGATGGTATTACCTAGTGTTTAAGAAGTAAGAATTCAGAAATGGAAAGGATATGGTGGGATCTGGGACCTGTTGGCCTGGATACAAAGCACAGTTCCTGCCCTTAAGAGTTACTAAACTTTGGATAGATATGTGGTGTTTCAGTTCCTATGATTAGAATAATAAACCATCCCACACTTCATTAGATAAAATAGTTGTAATGATCATGATTCCATGTGTCAGAACCTTGGGCAGGACACGTAAGGGTAGATTGTGTCTGACACCTTCAGGACTATCAGCTGAATGATGTGAAAGTTAAGGTCTTAATTCATTGTCAGCTGATTCATTCAATTACAGTTCTGTTCACTGAGATTTGATTTTCAAAATAAACTTATGATCTAAGAATCATTTTCAATGTGATGTACGTGCAAGCTTGTGTAATTGTTAACATACTAGTGTGGTATACTTCTCACATGTAAATGCAAAGATCCCCTTTTATTAATATATTAGTTCAATATGCTAGTATTTGCCATAAATCTTACATATGGCCTCATAGGTGTATAGGTGTATCTTGGTGGTTTGTTTCAAAAGTGAATTCCCCTTTCCCTTCAGAGAATGTCAGACAGAAGCTGAGATGCTGTGCGGTTTGTAAGCTAGCCTGGTAAATCACAACACCACTCATACCATACAGCCCACAGTCTTAAGATGAAGGAAGGAAGAAATAGATTGCATTTGCAGTAGGGAGAATTTTGAATAACCATGTGAGACTGAAACTACTGCTGGAGCTATTTTTGGAAGATGCAATTTGACTCACCTGACATACTTTTGTCTTTCCTTCTTTCTCTATAAAATAACAGTAATATAACATTTCAGGCAGTTCTTACCAGGAAAAAATTCAGTAAATGTTGTCATCTTGGAACAGTTCCTGGTTCTAAAAAGTAACCTCTAATATTGAGAGCTACTCCTTAATCATTTCCTTTTCAAGCTAGTACAACACAATGGAATTAGTACTAGGGTGAGTGCAGAACTAGGGATCTTCATGTGCCTTAATTTTTCAATATTTTTGCTGATGGAGGTCCTTCTTTTGTTCGGTTTTTAAGAAATTGTTCCAGTGGGCCCGGCGCGGTGGCACAGTGGTTAAGGTCCTTGCCTTGCACGCCCGGGATCCCAGATGGGCGCCAGTTCTATCCCGGCCAGTCCCACTTCCCATCCAGCTCTCTGCCTGTGGCCCGGGAAAGCAGCCGAGGACAGCCCAAGGGTTTGGGACCCTGCACCCGCGTGGGAGACCCGGAAGAGGCTCCTGGCTTCGGATTGGCATAGTATCGGCCATTGCGCTCACTTGGGGAGTGAATCATCAGAGGGAAGATCTTCCTCTCTGTCTCTCCTCTCTGTATATCTGCCTTTCCAATAAAAAAATAATAAGAATAAATCTTTTAAAAAAATAAAAAAAAAAGAAATTGTGTCTCAACTCCTCTTGCTTGCATCTAACATAGTAACCCACAAAATACAATTTCAAAGGTATTGGGTGCCTTTGAAAGTCAATGATGAACCTTAGATCAAGAACTACTGCAAAGTGTGCAGGATGTTGTTAAAGTTGGAAGATATTGTGTAAATTTTCTTTATTATCAATCTTATTAACAGATAGTCTAGGATCAATAGGCAGTTATAGCTTCCATAGTTTATGTCACAGAAATTTTCAAATGGATGCTTCCAACATGTAAAATGACTATTTTAAGCTATAGAATATAAAATAAGAAATGCTATCATCTAAAAATTTTAAATATATGTATTTGAAATAAGCTATAGTATACATCAAACAAAACAAACACCAAAGCAAACACCAAAATTTTTGGAAGGGTTTTTAAAAATCCTTTTAGTTACCTTCTGAGACTTGAAAAAAAAAAGTAGTTGGCTGTTAGGCTACCTTATATGCCAGTTGTACTTATATTTCATCAAACAACTCAAAATTATTCCAATTCCTGCCCCTAGCAAAACAATTTTCAGAATTCCAACTCAACCACTTGGGGTTGGCTTTTAATATTAGTGTTAAGATATTAAAAAACAAAAACATTGTCATCTTTTTGAAAAGTGTTTCCAGCAAAAGGACGTACACACAGTATAGAACATTTTCTTTTTAACAAATGTAATTCTGTGGATTTTAGAAACTTCTGTCCAGTAAATTAGCCAAAAGTTTTAAATTATTGTGCCAGGACTAGACAAGGGCATCTAAAACAGTACTGAGTTTATCATTTCAGTTTTATGAAGAACAGCTATGACACATTATTAATCACTAAGGATCGATAAGGATACCACGCTTTCAGGAGAAATATGTTTGCTGCCCTTAATAATTCTTCAAGTGCTCAAATACAGAAATATTTGTATGACTACTTTTCTGCTGAATTACATTTCCTGTATACACATTGCCATATCAAAATATATATTTTTAGCAACTTAAACTAAAAATGCATGTTTTTCAGGAGACATTATTTGCTTCCCAATAGTTATTTTGGTTACATTATCATCTTTATCACAATTAATCCATACTTGTTTTTGAAAACTTTCATCATTACACCTAAAATATATTGAATGAATCTTTTTTGTTTACAATAAATTCGCACATGAAGAATTTCTAGTATTAATATGTTTGCACATATTCATAGCTGTTGATAAATTCCCTGTTTTTCTTTAAATAATAGACAGTCTTACATAAAAGAATTATACAATGAATCAGGAGCAAAATGGAAGGCTTGCATCTAAATTCATAACGTGGGCACTGACATGTGTTTTGCACAACAGTTAAGACATCAGTTGGGGTAGCTGGAAACTACAGTACAGTTTCCAGCCTAGGAGAAAGCAGGTGATGGTTCAAGTGCATGGTTTCTTAACACTCACATTGAAGATTTAGATCGAACTTATAGCTCCAGGCTTCATGTTGGCCAGCCTAATCACTACGGGCCTTTGGAGAGCAAACCAATGGAAGAGAAGGATCTCTCTCTCTCTCTCTCTCTCTCTCTCTCTCTCTCTCTCTCACTTGCTCGCTCTTACTTTCTCCCTCCAAATTCAGAAATAAATATATTTTCAAAAGTTAAATGATATTATAAATAATCCCCAATTTTCTGATGAGAAATGATACGAATTTATTTTCCAAGTAATTTCTACTCTATTAATGTCTGTTGCTTTTAATCATGGACGAAGGTGGTGCAGTATGCTCAGGGAAGTAGATCTACCTTTAGCATAGCTAAAATAGGTCAATATCAAATAAAGCCTAGGGTGGTGGTCTAAATGACATCACTATGGTGTGACTTTCAATTTCTCCCCCTCTGTGTTTTGACAGTTTTCTGTGAGCCAATGCTCTGAAACCCTTGCAGATCAAATTTTAGTCTATCTTCCTTTAGTTTGAGTACCAGAGTAAAAGGAAAGGGAAAAGAGGCGAGAGGCTGGACGTTGACCTCCTCAGTACTGGGTAGCAGTTCCCAAGACTTCCAGGACCTGATGGAGGAAACCTCAAGAAAAGGACAGTGGATAAACATAGACAAGATGTCAGACAAGCTCTGCTGATTCACACACCAGGGCTCAAAAGAAAAAGTCTGCCTGGAGATAGTTCTCATGTTTAAGGAGGATATTGGTGTCTGTTTATTTCTTTTTTTTTTTTTGTGAGGTTTTTTTTTTTTTGTACAATATATAGCAAAATACATGAAGATGATTCAAGTGATAAGCATTGCTAAATGAATGAAAATTATCTTAACTATACATCTATTTATCTTACAGAAAATGCAAGAGAAGTTACTAGTGGAAAATCTATGTTTAGCTCAAGAGTATCAACATATGCAGAAGGTTTTCTTGAAAGAAAAGGACAATTATCTCTGCAGATATGATAAGCAGCTCTCACTTGATGCCTCACTTCGGGATAAGAAACAGGTACTGATTTCTCTACTTTTTTTTTTTTTTTTTTTTTAAAGATTTATTTTTTATTAGAAAGGCGGATATACAGAGAGGAGAGACAGAGAGGAAGATCTTCCCTCCGATGATTCACTCCCCAAGTGAGCGCAACGGGCCGATACTATGCCGATCCGAAGCCAGGAGCCTCTTCCGGGTCTCCCACGCGGGTGCAGGGTCCCAAAGCTTTGGGCCGTCCTCGACTGCTTTCCCAGGCCACAGGCAGGGAGCTGGAAGGGAAGCGGGGCTGCCGGGATTAGAACCGGTGCCCATATGGGATCCCGGGCGTGCTAGGCGAGGACTTAACCACTTGCGCCACCGCGCCCGGCCCTGATTTCTCTACTTTTAAGAATAAAGATTTAAATAATGTATTGTCACAGTAAAATATAGTTGGGAATTTTCAATCTGGTGGTGGTTCTTATAAAACAAAATGGAGTGTTTTCTATTGTAAAAAGCTTTGGTGTATATTCATTTCAATCTTTTCAAATTGAATTTGAAGCAATATCCAAGACATAAAAACCATACTTTATAATCTACCATTTCATATAAATTTACGTAATGTGACCATGAATCCCAAATTGTTTTTTGTTTGTCTCTAGATTTACATACATTCTCATAGACTTCTAATATCAATAGTCAATGTTGTTGAATTTTCCTGAAAAGTCTCTAAGTCTCTGGGCTCCAGCTTTTGCTGCTGTAGTTCTGAGTGCAGTTTTAAATTAAACCTCAGGAGTAGCAGTTACTCTGTAACTGTTGGCAGTTGGGGAAATCCTAAATACGTTCTGTAAAATCATCTATAATGGTAGAAGTGAAAAGGTAAAGCACACCACATGTTATGAAACCCAAAGCATTCATAGTCTACAATCTGCAGACATTTAGCAACAAGTGAGTTATTTTCCTTTGAACATTTGTCCTCTAGATTCAAAATTTCAGAAAAGGGAGGCAAGCCTATCTTTATAATTTGTCTAGTTCTGAGGAAGCATTTCCCCACTAAGAGATCTGTTCTTTTCTTGGTCGTGTGATAAATTATAATTTGGAATTCCGGTTTTCACTTGGCCCTCGTTCTTGTGGGATTTGGGAAAGGCAGGAAGCTGAGATGTGGGTGTAAGCTCTACAAATCACTGGCTTGGTGACTGATGGCAGCAAATCGTCTACCCTCTCCCTTCTCGTTTTTTCAGGTGTAAGATAAGATTTAGTTCACAGGGCAAATGATGAGGATTAAAGTAGAGACTTCTGTAAATTAAGTTATTCCTTAGATAAAGCAATGTTATTACAGGGATAAGCAACAATTACACTCGCTGAGTATATGCTGCTTGGTCCATGCTTCTCATTCATCTGCTCTCAGAAGAGTTTAAACATCCATGAATGCTGGGGAGAATGCATGTGCTTTTCATATTGAAATGGTATCCAGACAAAAGTGTCACAGCCAATTATTCTGTATGGGAAAGCATGGATCATCTAAATAGCTAACCAAATCTTAGTGTCCTCAAACCACTGTGCAAGATTTAAAAGAAGTATGTCTATAAATGTAGAGTGTGTTTATTTGTTCAGTTGCTTCATGCATTTGACATTGATACTGAGGTTAAGTGTATTCTGTTGCCAGTAACCAAAGAGAATCAATGGCGTTTACTGCATTTTATGAGCAGAAGAAAAACAAAAATAAACTGTATGTGCACTTGTTACAGTTTACACAGAATTTTTAGCGGCAAATGACACATATTATAGATGCCCACATAAATAGCGGTTTATCCCTTTGAAGGGAGAATGCTTAGTATCAAATTTCATAGGAAGAACAAAATGGTCTTGATTTCAGTTCTGGAATAAAACAAATTCTTGATGCAGCAAGCCAGGATTGAGACGAATGGACAAGCAGACAGCGAAGAATGCTCGGAGACGGGGTTTATATTTGTGGCTCCACAAACGAATCACCTTTAGCACACCTGTTTCAGGGAAACTTTCAGAGATTTATTTGTACTTCCCCTCATTTTTCATTTCCATCCTTCAGCGATAGAGGTCATTAAGTGCAGGCTGCCCTTGTCAGTGTCATGTAGGATCAATTTGCTGCGATGGACAGAGAGGCCCTATTGATGCAGTTAAATCTGTCAGTGAGAAATCGTATGTCATTAGCGTCTAATGCACTGCTTACAGGATGGAATTTGGCCATCAAAAAATGAGAAAGCCCTCTAATATTTTAGTCCATTTCCTCAATTCCTCAATATTGCATCATTTCCCATTTTAGGCCTTTAGCCTGTTTAGTTTCGGTTTTACAAAATCACTGATTCCCTTGTTGAATCCCATCTTATAAAATCAATCTCATTTTTTGGAATTTGCATAGCCTTCTCTTGTTTTACATTAATTTCATTGCTTCTGAGTAGGAATTTTCTTTGAGCATGGTAAATGGTAATATTGTAATAATCGTGACTAGGGAACATTCTCTGCACAAATTGCATATTCTCAAACTTTCCATTTTTAGGTCAAAAGCAGCAAAGAGAGCCTATTGGGAATATCAAAATATTATCTACTTCTTTTATAAAATCTTACATACAGGCAACTGAAAGAATTTTATAGTATTACTCTCAGTGATAATAGTGTGCTTGATTTTATTTGTATTTTTTAATATTTTGTGCTGCTGAAATTGTCAGTGACAGGTATTTTTCCCTTATGAGGCAAAATCAGTATGCCAGATTTCTGTGTGTACTTCTAAATAAATACAAAATAAGTATCAATTTGTAAATATAAATTTAAGATTTCTCAGATATATCAAAATTTAAAATAGCACTAGAAATGAATGAAGGGGAAGAATGTGGAAAACACTTTGTGAGTATACACATTTTTATTTTCATAGCTTTCAAGGACATTTTATATATTTTCAAAAATATGCATACTTTGATGCAATCACCATGAGTTTGAATGTGACTTTAAATTCAAAGATAGGTAAGTTAAGCCAACATGCAAATGCTGATGTGCTCTGTTGGCTGAAAATAAGATCTCTTCCAAAACTGATCTAAATATATTTTGTAATTCTTTCGTAAATGATTTGTAGTGCTTAACCCTTGCCTTTTCAGTATTGTAATGCTTTCAAAGTAATGATAGATGCTATCGCAGAATCAACCAGCACTTACAATTAGGTCTGTGGATGAGGCCTGTGCTGTACAATTTGCCAAGATCATTTTTAATGCTCCTCAATCTTGGAAATTGTTTCATTATTATTTTCAACACCCCCATCCTGAATGAGATAACGGTGAAGTGTCTCTCAAAACAACCCCATAAAAAGACTGGATGACTTAGGATTATTATACTTGTAGATTTCTATATCCCACAAACTTCATAATCATGATACTACCTCTTAACTAGAACCTTAAACAAGTCACATGTCTCACCAGTTTTATAAGGCTTGAAAAAGAAATTGCATGTGAAATCTCCTGTGTCCAATTAAAAAATAACTGAATTTGCTTTTCTTTCATTTTCATTTTACAGTACAGTTCCATAGGCTCTCAGATGTCCCTGATTTCTGCCCATCATTGTAGGCATAGGTAATGGCAGAAATTCCAGCATCCTATTGTCAAGATATAGTTAAGTTTCATTGGGAGTCCATTTTTAATCTGACATCATTACTGTGGTAAAGTTCTTCATAAACAGTAATATGTCCATCATTGTGGGCGTAGACAAATGCAGTGTCCAGCATCCCATTGTCAAGATAAATTTAACAGTTTCATTGGGAGTTCATCTCTGATTTGGAAGTAGAGATGCATACTGCCTTGTATCCTCACATCTGGGTATGATAGTCTCCATTAGACAGTTACTATACATCCCCTTAAATGAAGAGTCACAAAACAAAATCAACAACAGGAAAAAAATAGAAATTTGCAACACCATGACCTTAAGTAACATGCTACTGAATGACTAATATGTCGCTGAAGAAAAGAAAAAAAATCGAGGACTTTTTTAAAGAAAATGATTCTACTATATGAACTATGATTTAGTGAAGAATTTAACATGAGAAACAATAATTTTGAAAAAAATGAAAATAAAAACATAAAAATCCATGAGATCTAGTTTCTGTGGATATATGTTGGTGAGCTGTGTCTCCTATAGGAAACAGATAATGAGTTTTTTGATCCAGTCTATTAATCTGTGATGTGTAATTGATGGGTTTAAGCTATTTACATTCAGGGTAAATATGAATAAGTGGTAATTTGGTCCTGTTGTTTTAGCAATGGGTTGTTCATTGTTTGAGTGAGTCTTCTGTTACTTTACTGGGAGGTTCTTCACGTTTGCCTTTGGTTTTGGTAGGTGCTATTTCTTTCTCTGTAGGTAGCCTAGCAACTAAAGTCCTTGCCTAACATGCACTGAGATCCCATATGGTTGCTGGTTCTAATCCCAACAGCCCTGCTTCCCATCCAGCTGCCTGCTTGTAGTCTGGGAAGGTGGTTGAGGATGGCCCAAGGCCATTGGACCCTGCACCCAGTTTTTTAAAAAAGAACATTTTAAAGTATGTTTTGTAATGTAGGTTGGAAGAAGCACATTTTATTTCATTTTCAAAGACAAAAGAAAGCTTTGTTGGGTATGTTTTTCTGGGCTGACATTTTTCTTTTCCTTTAGAATCTGTAATATATCACTCTGTTCTTTTCTGGCCTATAGAGTTTCCTGTGAGGGGTAAGCTGTGAGCCTAATTGCCATTCCTCTGTAGGTCAAATGATTTTTTTTCTCATGCACATTTAAGAATCTTTTCCTTATGTTCAATTGCAGATAGTTTGATTATCATGTTTTGCGATGAAGATCATTTTTGGTCAATCCTGTTAGGAGTTCTGTTCCCCTCCTGACTGATTTTTTTTCCTCAATTCTTTCTCCAGACTAGGGAATTTTTCATTTATTGTTTCATTAAATACAGCTTTAAACCCAGGTTCTTTTTCTGTACTTTCTGGAATGCCCATAACTTTCTGTGCGTTCTGGAAAATCCCATAACTCTTGCATTTGGCCTTTTATAATGTCTCTTGATTCTTGAATACTTCTTTTTAGTTTGACCCAGTTCTTCTTCCAGCTTTCTGATTGTTTTCCCATTGTGACAAGAAGTATCTTCCAAATTTGAGTTTCTTATTCCGCCTCCATCATTCTATTTATGAAACTTTCCACTGAATTGTTAGTTTGCTCTATTGCTTCCTTCATTTCCAATAATTTGGCTTGATTTTCTTTCAGTATTGCTATTCCTGTGTGATATATTTCTTAAATTCCTTGAACTCCTGTGTATACTTCTCATTGTTGATAAAAAGCTATATCATGTATCTCCCATTTTCTTGGTGTGTTCCTGAATTAACTCTGAGATCAGCAAAGGCTCCTTTGCATGGGAGTCTTCAGTAATATTCCTTGTGCCTTTGTTTCTTCTTTTGCTTTTGATCATTGTACTTCTGGTTAGCATATTCTTCTTAGGGCAGGTTTCCAACCAGTGTCACCCACAGGTCTACAGTTTGATCTTACTTATTGCAGTTGGTACCCAGTTCTTTGCAATTAGTTTTGCCATTCCCTCCATTGAGTTTCAAGTCTGGGCTTTTTTGTTAGGCTTCCACTTTGTTCTCTGGAGCCCCAGCTCCTGACTTACCACACTCTTCACCTCCTCTGATCCCATGTTGTGGTTTCACTGTTCTCTGTACCAACATTTTCCCACTTCTGGTTTGAGAAGTTCCCAGGATTTGGAAGACATCAGGTGTCTTAATCAAATAGGTTGTTTATGGTGCTGATCTTGCTGGAACCTGCTGGCTATTAGGTCTGAGGGCTACCTGGACCTGTTTTGACTGTTGGATGCCAAAGTCAGCATTATTTTCCCTGTGGCACCAGTGCAATGTACTGAGCTGGATGTATATCCACTCCCAACTTAGCACATGCACAACTCACTCTTATCCTTCCAGTCTCACCACCATTACCACACTGTACAGAATGGTGGCTGATGTGCCACAAGTGGAGTTCTGGATCTGCTGGCTGTTAGATCTGGGGGCTACCTGGACCTATTTTTGTGTGGCGTGTAGTTTACAACACTTTCGCAGTGCACTTAACCAGAAATGAGTTTGTTCCAAGCTCAGTGCCTGTGCAGTCCTGCCTTCTAGCCTTTGCCTCCCTGCAGCAAATGACACCTGATGCAGCTCTGGTAGTGGAAGGGGTCTGGGCTGTAAGTTCTACCCTGTTCCTACAGCATCTGTTTGGGATCTGCTGCTCTCTCTTCTCCTGGTCGAATCAAACAAATTAGCAGGATGGACCATTCTTCGAGTTTACCTCCTGAGCTCTTGTTTAGCTCCCCTTCCTATCTAGCTGCTAGTGGAACTCAGTTTGCTACTCCCTGATTGCCACTAAGATATTTGATCACTGCCATGAATTTTCTTCTTTAAAATATTTTATCTCATTGGATCCAAAGAATGTTTTTAGTGTGAAAAAAATATTCTACTAATTTATTTGGAAGCTGTCTGATTTCCATAAGGATAATAAGTTGTGAAACCTTTGGACTAAAAGTACCTTTAGAAATGTTACTTTCCTGTTTAAGAAATACTTGTCCAGTTGTGGAAACTTGGGGAGGCCAGTGCCTCAATGATTCACCACATGTACCATCAAATAAAAGAAAAGCCAGCTTCGGACACATTCTATTAAATTGGGTACAAATGTTCTCTACCAAAGACCAGATGAGCATGTGCTGTTATTCACTTAGAGTTGTACATGGACCAGTAGCTGGGCTGTAATGAGAGTGAACAGTTATGGGTATGGTTGGATGGGAGAAAATCATCTATTAGTGACCTACACTTTTGTGACAATTCCATGGAGCCCTGCATCAGATTACTTCTCTAGCCAAGTGTCCTCAGCTCCAGAGGCAACTGTTAGGACTCCAAGAATTCAAACAGTAATGACTCATTGATGCATTTGGTTATTCCATTGCGACTCCATACCCTGTAACACTGGCAGCCATACAACTGGATACAGGCAGACAAACAGCAAGCATAAAAGTCCTGTTGACTCACAGCTGCCATGCTGCTGATCCTGAATCCTAGGGGCTGGTCCTAGACTGAGACTCTTCTGTGCTGTCTCTCCAACCTACCAGGGCAAGCACTGTGAAGCTTTAATCTGCATTACCTCGGTCTTGTCAGGCAAGATTTCCATCTTTAATTCTCAGAAAAATGTATGTCTGCATTAGTCTTTTCTTCTCCTTTCTTCAGTTTTCCAAAATAAGTTCATCTAATACTCTGTTTAGCTTGACTGGGAGAGGACTCAAGGCCAGCTCAAGCAATAAACCAAATTGTCTTCCCAGAGAAATATGAAAGCTATTTTAGTTCTCAGTTTTATACATATTTTTGTATTGCTTATTATTTTGCATGTTTTAAAATTGTGCTTTGGGTGGTGATTTGCACGTGCTGTTTTAGTATAGCAGAAATTCATTTCTTTCAGAGGAAAACCATAAATTTTTTCAATAGTTTTTTGCAGTAAGATATTTCAAGACCCCATAGGTGCCATCTCTGCCTCTGTTTCTTAGAAAACACACACACATTTCAAAATGGAATTAGAAAATTATTTTGGTGCAAAAAAAAAAAAAACCTTTCAATGGAGGCATAGTTTTTTGCTCTTGTTTTTGTTTTTCATAATATACATTCTCTACAAACAAGTGAAAGACCACGCAAATTTGTATGTGGTTCTCAAATGAGGTCCCACTAGTTCCCCACCGTGTTACTTTGACCAATAAGGGTTTTGTGGATATCTGGAAAGTATCTAGTAGGTGGAGTCCAAGCATGATTTGAAATATCCTGCAATGCCAGATACACACCTGCTTGATAACTCGAAAAAGAGTGTACCTCATACAGGTTGTGTGTGTGTGTGTGTGTGTGTGTGTGTGTGTGTGTGTGTGTGTGGTGTAAATACAATATAACCTTTGTATACTTTATCCCATTCCTAGAGATCCAACTTCTCTCCATATGCTCTCACCTGTGAGAAATGTTGTTGTAAGAAATTTCCTAACTCTGAATTTGTATTTTGCCTGGAACATCTTAGGAACCCATTTCCAACTGATTCACCTAGTATTTAGGGGAGGAAATGAAAAAGATATAAAGGATAGGAGAAAACTAAATATCAAAAACAGTACATTCATAAAATCTCTAGGGATTTACATTTAAATTCCTGGAGAAATTTGGAATATTTTCCTATAAGTAGTTCATATTCTGGAAATCCTTGCTTCTTCACAGTGCTGCATTTTTCAACATGTCATTCATAGTGCAGTTATGAAGTGAACCCAGACTTTTTTTAACCACTCAAAACTACTTTTAAAAGTGAAAACACAAGTAAAATATTCATTGCATATTCTTCCCTTGAAAATTACCTTTTTTTTTAACTTATGCTTGACTATTACATGATTTAAAACTATCCTGGATGTGCAATTCTGTGGGAGTAAATGTTAATGAGGTGTTTTTGTTTGTTTCAAACTATGCACCTGCACCACAATGACAAACATTTGAAAATATTGCTTTTGTAATCACCTTTCCCCAAAACTGGAGGGCTGTGCTTGATTTTCATTGATTTAAACAAGTATTAGCATGGAATATACATAATCGTATGCCAAATATTTTCTTTAGTCATCGGTTCTTAAAGTTTAACTCTTCCTGAAGGTGGGAGGAGTAGCTATGGACAGCTTATATACTTCCTGTGAGCTGCTAAAAAGAATAAATATTAATGTCTCCCTAGCAGGATTGTTGTCAAACAGTTATAATTCTCATATATGAAGCACAGCCTATGTGCTAGGCATATTTTTAGTTTTTATATGCACTGTTATTCTCCTGAACAACCCTGTGAAATGTAAAACTACTTTTTAAATATAAGACACCTTGCATGCTTTTTACATAAAATTTACTTTTTGCTTATACAAGATAGGCTACAAATTTTCTCCTATATCCTTTAGACTCATGGGTTATTCAATTCTATCAGACATGGAGTGGGATATATGATTATGATGTCCTAGTTTATATAAGTATTAAATATTTCATGAAACTAGAAAATATGAGATGAACTATTGGTAGATAGCACATACATAGAGGAAAACTAACATTATGATAATGAGTTTGAAAAAAACGCGCAGATGCTGTAAAGGATAGAGTTAGGGGAAATACCTGTTGGCTGAGAAAACTGGCAAGAGTAGAAATAGAAAATGTATGTGTGCTTGTGTGTATAAATGTGTGTATACATATGTGCTACAGAAATATGAACAAGAGCTAAGAACATTGAAATCATCAGATGCCAGTGTAATATAATTTTTCCTGTAATCTGGATTTGGGAGACTGGCCTATTTCACTAAACTCAACGACCTCTGGTTGCCATCTAATTTCCCTGCATTAGATAGCCTTGCTTTCTTTTTATGGTTTAGTCTTGTTCTACCATGTATATACACATGTTATTCATCCAGTCCTCAGCTGATGGATGTCTGATTTGCTTCCATGTGTTAACTACTATAAATCGAACTGTTGTAAATAGGGGGACATGATGGCTGTTCGATGTTCTAATTTCATTTCCTTTGGGTAAATTCCCAGGAATGGGATGATTAGATTCAGGACCCAGTGAATATATGTTTGGAAAAATGCAGATAAGTGTAAACTTGTGCTATGCCATAATAATAGTAATATTAATAAAAATAATACTGCATTAAAGTTAAACTTGAAATACAGTTTAATATTTATCTGTTTAATATGAGAAAAGTTCTTATCAGACAAACAAATGGAAAGAAATATTATAAACACCCATATATTTACTACCATGAAAATTAAAATTTAATTTTAAAAATAGGGGAAATAGTTTCAATATCTGTGCCAACCATGGGCTTAATGTTTTTTACCAAATGAGTGCTTTTCCGTACAGTTTTTCAACAATAACAACAAACAGAACAAGTATTCAAACAAGCATGGCATCAGGATGTTTTGTCTATATAGAATATTTAAAGAAATGCAAAACAGTTGATAACTGAAATGGAGGGAAGCGCTCTTAGTAGTGTTACCCACCAAATAAGCATGATATTCTACAATGATGACACCTAGTTTGAAGGGAGAACTGAAATCAGTACTTTCATCACTTGTGATTATACACTTTGAAATGCTTCCTTTGAAGAAAAATTTGGCAACATGTAGCAGTAACTTTCATGTTTATGTACATTTTTTTCTCTAGGGTGTAATTACCAAAATGCGCACAAACAGTGCTTTCAACAAAAGTCTGGTAATGAACTGATATTATGGCACAGCATGGAGCCAGAATGCCTGGGCTGGACTCTGGCTCTGCTATTACTAGCTGTGATTCTGAGCATTCTTTTGCCTCTCTGAGTCTCTGGCTCCTCACCTGTAAAGTGAGAATCATCACAGAACCTACTGCTGTTTTCCTGACAACTAATTCCATATGCAGAAAGCTGGCAGGATAGGACTTGGTAAGCAGTAAGGGAGATATATATACATACATATGTGTATATGTGTATATGTAGAATATGTATGTGTATATTTATATATGTGTATATATGTATATATATATATATATTTGTTAAATAGAATTAAGCAACATACTTCAGAGTGTTTTATATTGTAAACAGACAATGAGACCCAGCTCTTGTTATCATTCATGTATCCTGAGGGAGTCTAAAAAATAGCAATGGAATCTTTATAGAAATGAAGTTGATATCTTTGTATTAAGAAACATCTTATGAAATCAAAATTCATTGTGAAATTGTCATTTTCCATTAACAGTCACTTTAGGATAATAGATTAACTCAAAAAATTACTATTAACAATAAAATTATGAACAATGCCATGACTAAAAGATTCTACCATTGTTTCTCTGTGCTAGAGCAATGGGGACATCATTTTAAATTAGGTGACATGTGGGTTCCAGTTTGAGAATATTGAAATATACTAAAATAACCTAGGAATGACGATTTGTATTTTCAATGGATTCCTACCTAATGAGTGACAATAACGTCATAAAACCCCCCAATGACTTC